CGGACGGCCAAGCCCTGGACTGTTGTTCAGTTTAAAGATATCCTAACACCCGAATTCGTCTGGTTTAAGTCAACGAAAGAACTACTGAAACAATAGCTAGATTGAAAAACAGCGAAGCAATCGGTGAAGAATGTCTGCCAGTGGAAATCTGCAAATGTTATTTCAAACTTTCAAACGACCTTCTGCTGAAGAAGGCATGCATACGAAAGCTGCTTTTAGAGGCTGCAGCTGCGTTGTCGTTACACCTATTTTTACGAACCGTGGTCAGCCAGAGCGTATGGACTGCCGCATTGCAAGACCTCTTCAAATGGATTCAGATGTCTCCTCGGTCACTCTCTCTCGTATTTTGATCGCGAATTAAGACTGTACTTGACTCATCAGAATTTGCAATGATCGATAATTTCATACGAAACTATGGCATGCAAGTTACTCAGCTTGATTCTCATTAATCCTCACAGAACAAGGATCGAAGTCCATGCGAATGTTGAGAAGAGTGATTTCGACGACGGCGCCTCTGGCACCCGCTGGGGTTTTGCACCTTCTCTGTTTAACCGCATAGTAGACAGTGTATAAGTCTCAGCAAACTTTCCGGTGCAGGCTTAACTGAGCTGAAACAAGTTAATGGGAGTTGTGAGCTTTTTGGGCAGAGGACAACTGGAATCGGTTTGATAATTCCTCCGTACCAAAGATACCAGCTTTTAGCGACGAAAAATGCGGCTTCTGGACTAGGAGACAAGAGGCACCTTGAATAAAATTTTATACCAAAAGGAAAAGAAAGAAGTAGGATCAACCAGGCGAGCGGCATTGCCCGATATCGTAGTCCTGACGTGAAAGTAAACGAAGCCACAGTGCACACTCCCTCTGTGTGGATGTGAGATATTGTCCTTGCGGCGATCATGAGATATCGCTAGTTTGAGTGTTTTTCGTCGCAGGTGATCACACTATTTTTTGTTTCTGTAAAGAACAGCACTGCCTACCGGCGCTTCTCAGAACCAACAGATGAGGGAGTTTATCAATGTGCCGTACCAACAAGACGGAAAATCGTCTTCAGTGTCACTTCACCTGCATGCGGTCGTGACTAGTGGCTTCGTCCGAGAGATGAGCTGAAAACTCGAAGTTGATAGGCGGTAATCCGTCGTGTTATCTTGGCTTGCTGGACTGATAGGATAACTGCCGTCAACTGGTTGGCATTTAGAGTGATCATTTAGGCTGCTATGAATCACTAACATGCAGCCCGCTGAATCAGCCATGGTGAACGATGTTGCAGGTAAGGCTGCATGTACACGTGGCTGGTTCCGTTTCTGTCCGAGTAAATAGCGTCGCGCATTTAAACGGGACAGGGAAAAACGTTGAACATTTGAACTAAAGCCGTTAAACTAAAAGAAGACATAAAAAGTGATAAAAACGGCCTGTGCAGGCACAAACTATATGGCGGCATCCAGTGCGAAAAATGGATAGCAAAGGTCGCTGCGCCTTTTACCTCTCATAGCAGGTTAGGAGTCGGGCGATAATACGCTTTGAGAAGTGCACTCGTTCCTGCAGCTTTTTCGGTACTTCCTCCTTATCCCAAGAGGCCAGTTGTTTTAAGAAGGATTCAGCAGACGTTGAAACTATTACAAGAAGTCAAACACAAAATAAGACACAACAATTGACTAG